TGCTGAACCCAAAAGGAGCAGCCACGTCAAAATCATAGTGGTACCCATCTCATCAAGTGGCATTGACTGAAAGGACCATCAGAATATATAGTTTCTCTTTCTGAAGGGGAGTGGCTCTGTAGGTTTCTCTTTCTATGGGAGAACAATAAAACAACCCCAGTCCTATAATCTGAAACAAAAATATGTTTGATTTGTTATTTAAGATTTTGTAACTTCCTGGGTTTTGAAGGAAGATAATATCTCAAGAGCAACACTTTCCACTGCCTGGAAGGAAATATTTGTGCTGCCATAAGTTTCACAATCAACTCACTGTACAAAAAAAAAAGAGTTCCAATCCAAAGATACCTTTCAATTCAGAACAACTAATCTCAGTATTTTTCTTTTAGGTACAGATTCCTTGGTGGATCTGGGGAAGGTAATGGAATTTTGAAACTTAAATGGGCTTCCTCCAGAAAAGTCATAAAAAAGCTTCATAATCTGGTGCCAACTAGTGTGGCAAGTTTCCCTGAGGAGCCATGAGTGTCTTAAAGCATCAGCACACTTGAAATAAAATAAGACCTGGTGGCCCTGTTCAAGTATGACTGAGGAGTCTCTGAAGAACCTTGCAGTTGAAGTCAACACTTCCAGTGCCAGTAGGAACTCATTCTTTTTTGGCACTTTGAGGTTCAAGTCAAAACTCTGTTCACCAAGAGGCTGTCAGATCACAAGATAGTGTCACAAGAATCAGGGTCAGCTGATAACTTTTTGTGAAAACCGTGCAGAAAAATCAACGGATTTTATGCATAGTTAAGCCAATTACATAGGTTGCACCTTAACTTTATTCTAAAGTTTCCTTTGATCCTTTGAACAATCAAATTGGGGGGAAAAAAGCTTCAGATTTCTACTAAGAATATTTCTTAATATATTTCTTGTTTAATTTTGCAGAGTGACAGTTACAGCTGTGTCGTTCTTTGACGAACAAACCTCAAGCTTTTCTACAACATGAAATAATGCTGAATTCTCAGTCATCACCCTCTTGCCAGACTGACTACTTTCTTCCATTTCTGTGCTTTAATCACTTAACAAGAAAAAGTTGATGACCATTCTAACACTGAAGAGCCAGAATATTGTTCAATGATTCCTGCTCCTTCAGCCATCATGTCTTAGGTGGCATTATCAGGAGTTACAATTTGTGGTACATTTGTTGCCATATATAAATTTATTGCCTCCAGGGGCAGTCATCAAGGATGAAGGATGAAATCCAGGAGCCCAAGGGAAGAGGAGAATTACTTAGAAGGTCTTTCCACAAAGGCCAGCATTATTGGAATAGAAGAAGGAAGAGCAAAACGCGAGAGGCCAAAGATGACGTTGGAAGCCTTGAAAGTGAACATTGAGGAGGGTAAATATGTTCCTTTTTTGTACAAACAACCATATTCACACATGAATGAGGAAATGTGCACAACACCTGGTATTCACTATTCATATTCTTCTGGTTTTGACACCTTGGCAAGCAGCAGAAAAAATCCAGTATATTTGACTGATCAATCAAACACTGCGATCAGTGAAGCAAGAGTAAGTGATGGATAGCAACTCTTCTCCAAACTCTTGCAATAACTGAAAAGGGTGGGGAGGAAGTGGAACACAGAAGTGATTCTCAGGCTGTTCATGGGAGAAAAAAAACACCAGACTGTCCAGGTAGGTGAACAACCCTGGTTAATTAATTCTTCATCACTTTCTTCACTATTTAATTCTTTACTATAAACTTCAAAGATCTAGATATTTCTAGAGGTCTTGATTATCAGACTGTCTCTGCACAGCAGAAATAGATAAATGTCATGTTCTGATTAATTAATTAATGCAAATACCATACAAGACATCTTCATTCTTCCCATTGACTAGGTAAGTCTCTTGCAGTAACACGTTTTTGTTCTCTAGGACTTCTGGCAGTTTGAAGTGTTCCTCAGCACGTTACTCTGTGAAAGAAGCTCCACTGAGCTTTGAAAACAGGCAGATCTATTTTGGAGCATGCCCCTTTCCTCGCCATCAAATGGTCTTGATTATCAGACTGTCTCTGCACAGCAGAAATAGATAAATGTCATGTTCTGATTAATTAATTAATGCAAATACCATACAAGACATCTTCATTCTTCCCATTGACTAGGTAAGTCTCTTGCAGTAACACGTTTTTGTTCTCTAGGACTTCTGGCAGTTTGAAGTGTTACTCTGTGAAAGAAGCTCTACTGAGCTTTGAAAACAGGCAGATGTATTTTGGAACATGCCCCTTTCCTCACCATCAAATCTAGTTTCCTTGAATCTGCTTTTCTGTACCACTTGTGGATCAAGGGAGGCTGCAGGAAACAGGGATGAGTCTGAGACACCAACTATTTGAACAGTCTAGGAGTGTTTTCTACAGCAACATTTAATATGGAAGCCACTGGACTTGCAGAACAACATCTACCTTGCATTCTGATACAACCTTTGTATATCTCCCTCTGGGACATGTGGCACAGACATAGGATGGGAAGACAGCTCTGAGCATCACAGGCACATTGCAGCTTGGAAGCACCAACATCCTAGGCCTAGGATCTTTCTGCTTGTCTGATCACAGTAATACTCAGAGGCCAGGAGAAGTAGAAAAAGTGCCATCAAACTATGCCTTCAAGAATGGTGGGGTGGCAACACCACCACAGCAGGAGCTGGGACAGGAGAGAAAACAGCAGAGGGGAAGGTCCTTCTCTAGAGTGGTAGGAAAGCCCAGGTCCAAGTCTTCATTGTGCTGAGCACATTGCCAGATCCCTCCAAGCCCAGACAATCTCTGGTCCACACAACAAGACTAGATGAAAGGCAGGTCAGCCTTCTGGACTGCTCTGCCCTTCAAAGGTGCCTGTAGGCAGAAAGCAGGGGAGGACCCTCCTTAACCCTTGTTCCTCAAGTGTGGACAACAAAATTCACTTCCACTTTCTGTGGACAAAGCCAATTCTTCCTTGTATGGTCCCTTCTCCACAGCCTGCAGAGGTGACAAAGAGTCTGCCTAGGGTGACCAGGAAAGGGCAGCTTGGAGGAAGAATGGTACAGGCTGTAAGGAGGATTCCCGTCAGAGCTGCCCACATCCTCCTCATCAGGCCGGGATGTCACCCTGTGGTACAGCTCACCTCCCTCACACGTCACTGCTGGTCTCTGCCTCACCTCACACACAGGGCATGGCACTGTCCCAGTGAACCTCCCTGTTCCACAGCTGGCTAGAGGACAGGAAAGTCTAACCAAGAGCATTTCTCAACCCCACAGCGATGACCTTTCGACCCGTAGTACGTAGCTTCTTCCAGATTCTGTTTTTCTTTCGTGCTCACACGGTGGCAGGAGACAGGTCACCCTGCTCCACGGGGACTTACACACCTTCTCCTTCCCCCCTCCTTACAGGAGCAGCAGTGCCTAAGAGCAAGAGCAGAAACCATCTCTTGGCAAAGCCACTGCCCAAAGCCATGTTCTCCAGCCTGACACTGGTTTAACTGGGAGTTCAGACACAGAACTGCTGTGTTTGCAAGTACACAAAAAAAAACGTTGTTCAAAACCCATTTGCTTTGCTGCTTTTTTTTTTTTAATTACACATTCACATAAGAGATCTGATTATATTCATCCTCTATAAAAAAAATGTGTATTTTCTCAGAAGAACACATTATTGTGAAGAACCATACCCCCCAAAATAAGGAATATTGTACAGAAGCAATTCCTTATGTGCAGCCCTTCCTCATTTTCACATCTTGCTCACTATTGAGATATTTTTGCTGCAAACAAACATTTTTTCTTAGACTGCTTCCCAGAGTATCTCAGTGTGCTACAAAGATGTTTTATCTGCATGTCAGCAATGGCAAAAGGAATCAGTTCTTCTTTCTCACATCACCTAAATCAGTCTTCTCAGACAGATACTCAACCAGGGGCTCAAGTGAGATGTTCTGAAATGTCCAGTATTGAAGATGGTGGCTTACTTGGATACTAGGGTGGAAGGATCAGCTTTTCTTTAGACCTCAGGTTTCTTTGGACTTGAGGATTTTAACATCAGGCTCCTTCATAAGTTCAGTTCATGGTAACACTGGCTGTTATCTTGATAACAGTACATTCTTCAAGAAGATCTGGATGGTGGAATAGTCAAGTGAGAGTTACCCTCTACACAGACTGCAAAATCAAAAAAGGAAGCAGATGGCTGGTGAAAATATCCTTCCACCTGCAAGTTTTGGGTTGCCTCTCACATTATCTGGTATGGGATGGGTTCCTGCAGTTTACGCCTCAAAAGAAATCCTCCCACAGTGAGAACAGCAGCTGCCAGCACCGCGATGGTCACAGCCAGAGCAGGTATTGAGCTCGGAGACTCCCCTTTCTCCTGGAAGTCAGGGGCCAGCTCTGTGCATAAAAGAGAAAAAGAAAGGTTTACATTTGTTTCCCTGAGCTGGTTAATCTCAAAGGTAATTAGGTGAAGAGAACTAAAATTAAAATGTTGAAGTCTGGATTTGATCAGAAACTAAACTGGTTTATTGACCGTTATGTGATAAATGATTCTGTGGCCATGTGAAACAAGTAAAGGTTATGGCAAGAAATTAAAGAGCAACCAAGAGTTTGTGATGATTACACTCTGAGCCCATAAAATTCTGTTTTCTGATAATGGAAACAGCAGTGACAGGACACTGGGAAATCACATTTCCAAGGGGATGTAGATCGGTCACTAATAAATATGAGACATGGAAATCAGGCACAGACAGCTTTGAAAAATTAACATAAATCCTTCAGGGAGATGAGTTATGTCTCAACCGTCTTCCCACAGAACTGAATCAACTGTCATTTATAGAATCACAGAATTGTTTTGGTTGGAAGAGACGTTCAAGGTCATGGAGTCAAACTGTTAACCCAGCACTGCCAGGTCACCACTAAACCACGTCCCTCAGCAACACGTCTAAATTTGACATGTGCAGAACAAATATTGAAACTATTAAATACCAAAGTAACTATGCTAGAAAGGAAAGAGCTTCTAGATCTTACAAAACAATTGTATCTATGTACAAAAATATTCCTCATAAGAATTGTAGCAGGCTTGTGAATAAACCAACAGTATATCTCAGAGCTGGATTCCATGTCCGAACTGACACGCAAATGCACAGCATCACAAGTCTTCTGTCATCTCAGTTATTTAAATTTACCAGGGTTTCTGTTCTCAGGGTGAGCTTCCCGAAGCTGGACGGGTCCAATAACAACATTCACTTTTTCCTGGGAAGAACCTGTGTTCCTCTTGAGCCTGCTCACACAGCCTTGGTAGCAGCGGGAGGAGGAGTCGTTGTGTTTGCACACCACCAGCTGGCACCGCAGGTAAACGGATGGGTGGCGGGTCACAAAGGAGAAAGCATTGAAGCCAAACCGAGCAGCAGCACGGTTTGGGGAGTAGTAAGAGGAGTAGGTAGGATCCTTGACACACCTGGAAAGATATAAAATTCATAGATTAGCTTTTGTGAATAGAAACATTTGAGAATCACAGTGAAATAGGTTTCAAGTTTGATAGAATCATAGAATAGGACCACGGAATGGTTTGGCTTGGAAGGAACCTTGAAAGGTCATCTAGTCCAACCCTCCTGCAGGGAGCAGGGACATCCCCAACCAGAGCAGGTTGCTCAGAGCCCCAGCCAACCTGACCTGGAATGGTTCCAGGGATGGGGCAGTGACCACCTCTCTGGGCCACCTGGGTTACCATACTCAGTGTAAAAAAAACAGAAGGCAAGAGCACAAGAAAACTCAAAGAGATGAAAAAAAAAGAGGTTGTTTTTAGCAAGAGAAACAGGCAAAAATAAGTAAGAGTGGCAGTGACTTCTACCACAATAATGCATACAGCACAGAAATTTCACAGCTGAACAAAGTTCATGTAAACATGAGTAGCTGAAAAATAACTAGTGGTTCTGCTGGTTTCTGTGTGTCAGGTGAACACATTAACTGTTTGCAAGGAGGCCCCTGTAGGTTGTTGCAGAAAGGGAAAGGGCCCTTTTCTACTCTGGAAGGACAAAACTAATTCTAATACATATCTTTTTGGGGAAATAAACGTTTTCTTTAGTCCTTCGATGTCTGTAGAGTAATTTCCTTGAGGAATATCAACACCTGACAGAGACCTTCAGATGTTTCACAGAGCATGTTGCTAGATTAACTTTCCTGTCAATGGGTTTCACTTCCTGATGATTACTAGGCTCAGAAGTTACCTGATTATTGATTTTAGACCAGTAAATACATCTGCTTCTGGCACAGTGCCATGTCACATGAGTAAAAATTAACTGGAAAATATTCACAATCTTTTTGCCCTATCTCCTTGGTGAGCATCCTGCTCACAAAGGTAGAGTCCTTCTGTGTCCTACTTAATGGATATTTGTTTTCTTAGATAAAATAAAAAGAAATGCCAACAAGAGGGAAAAACCTTCCTAAGATTCACATAAAGTCAAGAAGGGGGACATATGTCCAGCCTAACAGTAGGTTCCTACACCGCTGAGGTTACTGAGGTGAACACCCTGTCAGGAGGCAGAGAAATTCAAATCTGTCCAAGCAGAGAAGGGAAATAAATGAGCGTGAGCTCTTCATTCCTAGAACAAAATGGGGCACTGAGAGCCATGCTTAGACACTTCCAGCTCCCTGGCAGTTTTGTGTTCTTCAGCAGTGCCCACAACTTTTCCATTTCAAATCAAAAGGCACATTTTGCATCCAATTAAGTAAAATGTTTTAGGTTTTTAGAATAGCAAGAAAAGGCTAAGGAAGTTATCTTCTTTTTGAACAGACTTTTTTGTGTCCTGTTTATGATGATGCAAGACTAATTCTGATGTGTGGAAACATCAGAGCCATTCACATTCCTACATTTTATGCACCTACCTCGGAAAAAAATTCAGACCTCAGTTTCTACACTGCACCTCTCAGTGCTTGACTGCAGCTGCTGAACAGCATTTCATTGTCATATTTTGTTTTATCCAGGCTTTGCCAAAAAGTCTTTCTTAGAAGTACATTTCTATTGAGAATTGCAACCAATACACACAGGCTCTAACTCGCCTCTTTCATAAATTAAGTTCTTTCAGAGCTATGCATACAGATATTTTTAAAGTAATTCTTTAGAAAATTCTTACCCATTTCTGATCAATTCATACGTCTGTGTTCTAAAATCATGAGGATCAGGTGATGCCACACACGTGTCCACAAACAGGATCAGATTTGTGTCAGAGCTGCGAAGAAAAGCTTGAAGATACAAATTCTGATTCAGGTCAACGTAGTATGGGGAGTCATACACTGGCCACAGGAAAGATGAGGAATTGTAGAATCTCAGGTCCAGGTCGTATCTGCTGTACTGGATTTCACTGACATTAATGACATTATCAGCACGGTACATTACTTGCAGCCAGGTGTTCTGGAGCATTTTGCAGCTGACGTGGAAGTGAATGTCCTTTTTCCTCTTGATGATGTGACCAGGAGCAGGCACTTTAATCACATTGGAGTAGGTGATCGTTTCATTGTTGCCCTATTTGACAGATTAGATGGAGTACAAAATTATTGCATATAGTCACGTTCAGTGTGTACAGTGAATTTCTGTTCATATTTATAATTCATACCAATTTTCTGAATGTCTGTTGAATTTCCATGCCCAGACTTGAAGAGCTCTCCAAAATATCTTGACACTCACCTGGCTGCGTGTACCACAGCTATTGTATGGAATGTTGAATATAACCTCAGTTGATGTAATTTGTGGCCTGCAGGAAGAGTCAGACAAGCTGATATTCCACACTGGGTAACCTTGTAACTGGAGATAGTGTCTGTCTACAACTGCACGCATGAAGGTTGAAAAGCATACAAGGGCTAGGGAAGAAAATATTAATTATTAGTAATTTCAGATGCTTCCTAATGGTTGCATGTTACAGGGTCAGCCAATGCAATAGCTGCTACCATTTAGGAGAGAGAATTCTTAAGCCATAACACTTATTTTCACACCTTAGAGTTGGATATGAAAAACCAATACTCTGACAAACTTCAGCTGAGCTTCAGTTTCTCTCCTAACAAAAATATGTAGCTTACAATAGACTTCTGCTGAGATCTTGAGCCTGTATTGCCACTCACACAAAAATGCTAGGAAATGGGAGCTTTTCCTGAATAAGAATCCAAAAGATATTGTGGAAGGTCTAGTGCTAAACATTTGTACTGCCTTGCAGAAACACCACTTAAGTGGGAGATGATCCTGAAACCATCTCTGTGGTGGTTCACTGAGTTCACAACACAAAAAGCAATGCTCACAGGAGGAGTTTGGCCTTTGGTAGAGAGAGGTATCTGATGACAGGGACCTGCTGGCAACACACAGCCTCTTGGAAGGCAGTCACAAAGACAACAGAGACAAATGTGATGTCTGTTTGTGCCTGGGAGGTTGTGAGTGGACAGCAGATAAACTTTCCCACTGGGATTTCAGGATGGTACTGGAACAGGTCACCTAGAGAAGTGATTTTGAAGATTTCATCCTCTGAATGTTTCTAGAGACTCATCTTGGCAAATTCATAATGGACTTGACCTGGTGTTGGCAATAGCTCTGCTTTGAATCATTGAAGGAGTAAGCCTTCAAAGTTCCTTTCTAACCAATATTCCTATGATTCTGTGAAAACCTGTCAATAAAGGTAAAAAACTATGTATGAGTAATGCTGTGATGAGAAGAAGTATGAAATTACACTGGCCATTGTAGAAAACATCTAAAGGTGATTAACTTGACACTTGAAGATTATTTTTTTGTAAATGGAAAAATAATGATTGTCTGAAAGTGATCAGTCACTAACCAGTTATGAAATTCAAGTAAGAATATCATCTATGTGGGGATCCTTCAAGAACAGTAACAACTACTCAGCAAATAAAATCAGAGTATAAAAGCTTCTGAGCAAAGAAAACATTACAAACAGAGTGGAAACTTACTGGTGGTCTGGTCTGCTGGAAAGGACTGATACACAGCCTGGAAACCTCTGTCAGAATATCTGGAGTCACTGCGGAATCTGACAGACATGAAGTTTGAGGATGATGTGTATGTGAAATAAGAACCAGAACAAATTCTTCCAAGCAGAGGAGAAGTATTGGGTGGCCCATCATAGATCTCAATATAGTCATTCTGGCATCCACCTTGCAACCTGAGGAAGAAATATGAATATATATAATAAAATGTATTTGATAAACTTCTAGCTTCAAGTTCTGAACGAACAACAAGCCAAGATATTTCTTGGGCAAGATATTTCACTCACACAATTCCCATGTAATATTTATAATTCACTTACAAGCATGGAAAAAGTGCTTGGGAACCGTGCTTGTAGTTTAGTTTTGGGACCCAGGTATTGCCCAAGAAGGAAGTGGTTTACTTACTGAATACTTCCAAAATTGAGCTGAATGCGTAAATTATTTGCTACTTGTATTTCCCACAAACAATCTGCATTATTTGGATAATTCGAAGGATAAAAAGGACTCTGAATAATTGCAGAGGAATTGAGAAGTAAGCCACCACAAATATATTTCTCAGCTGAAAAAAGAGAAAGAAAAAAGGTAAAATACAGATGTGATTCATTTAGTTTTATTTCTGATCAAATGAAAACACATTTTATGTACCAAAACCATAGCAAAAGGAGGTTGACTCTCCAGGGGGACTGAACTGTTATGCTGTTCTCACTCATGCATAAGTGTGATGAAGTCTTCAGAGAGCTCTGACTCTCCCTTGCTATATTGAATTTGGTAAACTTAATGCATACATGTGTATGAGAGACAGCAAGAGTTGCTGGAACAGATAAAAACTAGAGAACAAGGAAAACATATACCACAATATCCACAGAGTCTGAACTCTATAACCAGCATCAGAATGAGACATAGGTGATCAGTATGTAGGATTCAAAGTCAGGGCCAATAACGGTTTCTTCCAAAACAATTACAAAGCTCAAATGATAGAACACCAACCTACAAAATAGCAATTAATATGTACTCCCAAAATAATTAACCAGCGAGACGAAAAAAGCAGACAAACCTGGAGCACTTGAGGACGGAGTAGAAACATCTGTCATGTTTATGGCAGCTATAGGGGAGAAAAAGGAAGAAAAATGTGAGGAGCTTGTGGATGAAGGGGCAT